TTTGTGTGAAAATTCTTTATCACATAAAAACAATGTCATGTGGTATGTCTCTTTGCAGACAGTATTTTGTATAATGCATCGAAGATAGGAGATATATATTTATCTCCTTAAAAAAATCATAGAGATTTTTTTTAGGATGTTATATGGTGTGTTTAATATATAAAATATTAATATTGGTCTAATGAATGGATTAGGTATATCTCAATTTTTTTTGAAAAAAAAATGAATTTAATAATCCTTTTAGTAATATTATTTATATTGTTGAATTATTAAAAATATATTTTGCCATATATTTTAATTATATAAAAATGGATCTTAAAAACGAATTTAATTATCATTTTTTTCGAACTTAAATAGTATATTTTGACAAAAATTTCGATTTTTATTTTTTTATTTTTTAATTTTTTTTATTTTTTTTAAAAAACTTCAAATTATCAAAAATAATTAATTATCGAATTTTAGTTATCCAAAATTAATTTGTAAAAACGAATTTAATAACATAGTAGTAATTTAATATGCATATATTTAAAAAAAATTGCTTCGTATATGCGGATTACCAAAAAAAATTTGTTTTTTTATTTATTATTAATTTCGGGAATGAGATTGAATTTTCTAAGAAGAATGAAAATATATATAAATTTGCTTCATATTTCGTTAAATAATTTTATTGGTGTGAACAAATGGCAAGTTTAAAAAAAATTTACATGAAAATATAGTCTAGAAGTATAAAGAAAAGGCATGTACATGAGTCAACCATATATATACACACGTAACATTTTATTATGTGTGTGGTGTATGCATGTGTCAATTGTATGTTATGAATAATAAATGTGCATAAAAAAATGGAATAGTAAAGTCAAGATTTGTCATATATATTCATTTAAAGGTGGCGGTTTTCTAAATAGAATGGAAAAATTGATTTCATTGATTATTTAGTATTATGATATATTTAGAAGGATATTTTTATATGTTAATAAATTTTGAAAGAAAATTCGCACTTTTCATTTTTAGATTCTTGTCATATATATGTTAATATATTCTTTGCATATTAATTAAACATACGCATATCGGGAAAAAATATTAATATAGATGGAAAGGAATATTAAACATATATTAAATAGTGAAAAGAGTAATCTTACGTGATTACGGTTCCAACTATATGTAAGTGACATATAGCATTACGGAAAAATATAACCACATAATATGTATAAAATAAATAAATAAATAAAAATGTATAATATGATCTTAATTCCAACTATATGTATTTAACATATAGCTTTACGGAGAGTATAATCATATAAAGTAAAAGTAAAAAAATGCATAATGTGATTTTAATTCCAACTATATGTATTTAACATATAGCTTTACAGAGAGTATAATCATATAAAGTAAAAGTAAAATATGGTTAATTCGTGTGTTCTTTGATTCCAACTATATGTATATGGCATATAGCTTTACGGAAAAATAAGATCACATGTATGTATGCAAGGAAGGAAGATGCATAATATAATATTGATTCCAACTATATGATTATAACATATAGCATTACGAAATTATATTTAAAAAAACTGCATCTATATCCGGGAAAAAAAATGAATGAGGCATAATATCAAACACTTGGTTTGCAAGCAAAAAAAAATAGATCTCAAAGATTTTGAGTTGAAAAATACCTCAAAGATTTTGAGTGTTGCGGTGGTGGACGTTGGAGTGGACTGCTGCGCAGAAGTGTTGGAAGGCTGCTGTGGAGAAGTGTTGGAGTGGACTGCTGTAGAGAAGTGTTGGAGTGGAGGCTGCGAACTGCTGCGGCACTTTGGAGGAGGGAGGCTACGGACTACTGCGGCAATTTGGAGGAGGGAGGCGTGGAAAAATTTAGGGATACGTGCTGATAACGTGTTGTGGGGAATGTGAGAGAGGTGTGTTAGTTCATTAGCAAGCCTCCTTTAAATAGGAGGAAATAGGGTTTACAAGGCATGGGCCAATGGGCCATATAAATAAATGCACACAAAACCCTAAATACACTTTACATCTATAACGAATGCACATTAAAGGTAATTTCCTTCAACAGTACTAACTTATTACTAATATATCATGCCCAAATCTTTCTCTATACAAAAGCAGGAGAAAAGAGGTCATTTTCCCGCCCAAACCTCTGCTCCATTGGTGGGTCGGGTCTGTCTGAACGGTTTGATTAATGGGTTGATTCTGCACTTTTGGTCCGGGTGGTCATTTCATATGCAGTATGAATTGATGTCAATTTTGGGGCTCCATGAAGTTCATTTAATGCTTTGTATTGCTTTTGTAAAATGAGGCTCAATTAATGCTTCTTTTGGATGCTCAAGACATTTCAGGACCAACTTTAATATTAAAAATGGGCATATGTCATTTCGAATTAATGAGGTTGTACTACAAAATCGAACGTCATTTCAAAATCACATGGTTAATACGGCTCTGGGATTCAAATTTATATTGTGCTGTCCTTTATATTATTTTTTAAATATTAAACAAAAGAAAACATTAAATGATTTGTACTACTGAGTTGATGGTAACCGAAAGTTGTACTCCGTAGAGTCAGCAATTGCAGAACAGCTGTCCTTAAAAAGATGTGTTGTTATATTGTATGTCTGTAGTACAAATTTGTGTGTAATACAACATGTATTAACCATTGGTTAAATTACTCTCATTGGTAAAGAACTTCATCTATTGTTCTATAAATACCTCCCAGAGTTCATCATTTCATTTCATCTCAAGACAACCTAAATACCTCCCAGCGGATGACAACCAATCCAACAGTGTTTTTGATGATGAAGAGGTATAGCATATCTTTTCAAAATTCTTTTAAATGCATTTCAATGTGCAAGACTAGTAGTGCTCATCTAAGGTTAACAACTACATTTAAATACATTTACAGGGAGGAGTTTTGCTTCAGAGAAAATGGCACAAGTTGGAATGCAGGTCAAAAAAAGAAGGGGTAATACATCTTTGGAGAGTTTAGACTGTTTTGTATACAAAAAGATAAAAGAATTCTTATATAAATCTTTATTATCATTGAAGGATTCAAGTATTTAAGAAGCAACATTTGTTCAAATGACCTGTTAATTAATGATTGGATTTTTTTTGTGCAGGTTACGTATTTTCTAAAAACCCAGATAAAAACTAGGAATGCCACAACAAGCATCCAAAACAGAAGGATTATTTGAAACCTGGAAGATTTATGATGAATAAGATGCTTGAATAAGAAAATGTTAATTACTCCGTACAATATTACAGATTGTTTTGCTAAGGAGTTCATAGCGTACGGTAAATCGGTAAAAGAAAGCATATTTGAAAATGTCTTTTTACTTACCACAGCTTTGATTAAAGGCATTATATTGACCAGCTACTTACCAAAACTCATTGACCAACTTTGTAATACATTGTTGCCTCATACATACCACAGAAGCACATATCTTGACACATTTCTTTTGTTTTTTTAAAAATCATCACTATTAGAAGCATTCATTTAAACAAGTCAAGAAAAATCAAATATACATATATTGTAAAGTAATGTGTAGTTATTTTCAAGTATGCATATCAAATGAAAACTTGGTAGAGATAACAACCAAAAACAGCTTCTGTCCTAGGCTTAGTTAGGAACTAAACAATATTGGAGTTTAGATTATAAGAATAACTAATAAGAAACTGATATAGCTTCTAAATAAAAAGGTTATGAGGAACATAAATAGCTATTTATATCAGTGTTTAGATTATAAAAATAACTGATGAAGAAACTGATATAGCTTTTAAATAAAATGGTAATGAGAAACATAAATAGCTATTTTATAGCTTCCCAATAATAACAACCTATATGAAACTGAAATTATTTAAACCTATTATGTGTGACATTTTTGGACTACAATCCATTATATTAATGTGTGACATTTATACTCTAAATCTCATTTTCAAGAGATACGGATATGTATGTGTCACTTATGCGAATCATATTTATTCTTCCAACCATATTTGACTATTTTGAGTATATATGCATTTAGAAGTGATGTAAGTTTCACATATCAACAGATCTTTAAACGGTATGATAGATCCAGATTGTAAAAGTAGTTTTGTTTAAAAATCAGATATACATGATAACCTTTTTAAACAGATTTGTTTGTACTTTAGACAAAAAGCTGAGTTTTATCTTATACGATTAGAATCCCTAATTTTATTTCTAAATGTTTAAACCGATGCTATCTCGCAAATACATCTCATATGCAACCAAAAGCTATTATTTACAAAAAGAAAACTTAGGTCATATGTATTTTAAATTGAAAAAAACCCAAAAAAGAGTTCGGATTATACCCATCACAGTAGCCAAGGTTGGGATACCACTCCAATACACAGGGCGTACACAACGAATGACTAGACCTCCGTCGGAGGATCCGATTCATAGACCAAGATGCAGTGAGTCAGTTGGAAATATGAAGACTTCCACCTACAATTGGTTTATAGAGACGATCGGATAAACCGATGACTCATCGTTGCCGATTTATGGTGTAGCCCATTGCTTTTACTGAAACAACTACGGAGGCTTAGGCTTAGAGAGGATCAATGATTATGGTTGGATTGAAGGTAGAAGAATAGAGGCAGGTGATTGAAGGTAGGAGAAGAAAGGCGGAGAGCATCGTATTAGCCGATGTCTCCGCAGGTTCGGGTATAGAGCAAAGTCGGTTAGAGGTGGAGTTTGGGTATAGAGAGTTTATATAGTTAGGGTTTCCTGTTTGGGTATTTGGGTTATGGGTTGGAAGATTAAAATGTTTATTTTTTTAATAAAAAAATGATCCCAAAAATATATGAGAAATTGATAAATTCAAATCTTTTTTGTAAATCTTTTCAGTATTACATTATTATTCTCATTGCATTTATATTACCCCGTCTCGAAAAGGTTCGTCAAATTGATTTTTCTTGGTCAATGTTAATCAATTTTGACCAATGAAATTTGTTAATATGAAGCTATTTTGAATATAAAAATTGTATCAAAATGTTCTTTATTCAAAATATTTTCATGAAAAGTATACAATATATAAATTATATAAAAATATAATAATTAAAATCATTGTCCAAAGTTTGTCATCATTGACCAAGAAAAGTCAATTTGACGAACTTTTTCGTGATAGAGGTAGTAATAAATTTTGTATGTTTTGTACATTTTTGTAATAATTTCATTAAAATAGCTATTTATTTATAATTACACTTACATACTATTGAATGAAAGTATATCTATTTTAAAGGATATACAGTGTGGAACTGTGGACATGAAATAAATAGTGGTGTTATATCGACATAAATAGAAGATGTAATTCCGTCACAGGGTAATACAGTTGAAGGTGCACTTATTATTATTTTATTTAGTGTATTCAGTTATTATTATTTTACCGATTAGGTAATGCCGTAATGTAATGGTCAAAAGGTACGTATTCGACGATTAAAATTATTTCTTCCGATGTGAGAATACCTTTCAAGTTTCAAAGAAGACATTTTTTTATCGTGACGCTCTTATGCAATGAGGCTCTTATGCAATGACGATAAACACATGTCAAAATCAGTCTTTGTTGCATGTTGGACTACTATTAAGCTGTGTTTACTCATGGTCAATTTTGTATTGCAGTGTCAAGAGTTATCAATCACAAATGTTTTAAAGTACAATATTCTTAATACTACTAATGTTGTTTGCAAAGAAGTGCTTCAAAATTTGCAATTTGTTCCTTCGATGTAGTGGTTACAGTTTGTGTGCTTTTGGAACATTGTAAACATTAAAATTTACTCTTCTTAACTATTTCATATTGCGCATATAGAATATTACTATATAGCTTCAATTTCTTCACTCTTTTTGAAATATGATTATAATTACAATTATAAGAATTATAATCATTTTATCAATCTTGGATTTCATTACATTGATATAATTTTTTATTTTTTTTTGTATGTTTTGATTGTATTTTGTCTCGTGCATCGGTGAGAATCTAGTTGTAATAAAGGGGAGAAGTAATGCCCGAATTGTAACTAGGCATGCACGGCAATCAACGAAATCCCCAATATAAATGGAATTCACTCGTCTCCATGCCAACAACATAATTCCCTGGTTAGCCGTGATGGAGATGACCGCCGCCCGACATCAAAATCCTCACGGAAAGCAAGTCCAAAGTGGGGAAGGAAAGATAATGGTGTTCGGAGAATGGAACAGAGACCCAAATGTCAGGCTACAACACCTCATTGACGCTGTGAAGAGGGAATCAGATTCAGCCGGCGGCTGTGCCAGTTGTAGCGAAAATGGTGCATGCCTCCATTCAGCCCATGACCTGAGATCGCTTGGATTATTCTGGGGGGTTCAGATGATGGACATAAATTCAGTTAAAATCACGGTCAAAGACCGGAAGAGATTCCCCAGCCGGCATCTCCGCGTCCACGGCGCGATTAGATTATATAACCATTCTTATTTTGAATACTCTGTTCCTAAATACGATGAGTTTTTCTTCAATGCGAAAGCAGAGGATGCAATAAGCATCCATCTGGACCGTGACGGATCCGCCATCCTTCCGCTGTCCGGTCCGAAACTGGTGTTTCCTCACCTTGGGATTCCCCTGGCCATCACTTTCGCTCTCAAGCTGGAAGGTCAGAATGTGTTTGGACTGCCAGCAGATCTGTACAACTATCCTTATCATATGGACCTAAGGGACACGTTTCTCTCTTACCGGGCTGGAGATGATCACTTCGTCGCTGCAACTATTGTATTTGAGTACATGTACACTCACAACCTATCGCGCAACTACCAGAAAGAAACGCTGGTTTGGGGATACTTGCGACATCATGAAGACCCGGAAGAAGATCTGTCCCAGATTCCTGTCCATTTGGTCGTTAACTATGCTCTTCTCGGGTATGGCATCGCTGCTAAAGTGAAGGTCAGAGTATTGAGAGAAAATGTGGGGGCCAGCAGAGTGTGGGGCCGTATTGAAGCGCGTCCTTGCGTGTTTGAAAAAGAAACGGTGCTTTTCCTCAAGAAAAAATCCGAAGCTGTTGCGGTAGGGGAAGAACAAGAAGGAGAAGAGGAAGAAGAGGGGTCAGTTCCCCTCACCAGATCATTAGTGGCGGTGGCGGTGAATTCATATCTGATAATCAAAGCGCGGCTGCGGGATGAGAATGGGAATGTGATTGTGAGCGAGACGTGCTTCTTCCGAGCCTACCCTTTTGGGACATTCAACGCCACCTTTCCAAATGTCCGATTTGAGGTCCAATGGGACCTGTCCAATTCCTTTGGACGGTAGTAAGATGCATCCTATGTGTCATAAGAAAAACATAGATAGAAATATTTTTTAATTTAATAGGAAAAATCGATTGTAATAATCTCAACTATTGGCGGTTCGCTTTTAATAATCCCAACTATCGATTATCTCATAATAATCCCAACTTTAGTGACTTTCGCCAATAATAGTCCATGACCAATATGATCTGTTATAACAAGTGAATTTTAAATAGAAATAAAGTGTAAAAATTAAAAGTTGACAAACGTCTACCACACAATTTTTACTTTATTAATACTCGTGCTGGTCAAACTTGACAAAATTTTAAGGGACGGAGGGAGAATTAACTATTAGCTCCATATCTTCTATTATACAAAACGAAGTGGAATTGCAGCCACTTTTCCCGCCCATTTCGCCGGGTCAAAAACGGGTCAAGTATGTGAAAATCGGATTTTTGAGGATTGGGTCCACATCAGTTGACCAGAATGCTTTTGGTTCAAATTTTCGGCCTTTTTTCTCAATTGAAAATGTGTTGCTGTGAACAAATTTAATTCTGAGGTGATCAAACGCATTTAATGCGGGTGGTTGAGCATTTAATGAGTTAGTTGAGTGGACTGAAGATTGTTACACGCCGGGTAATTCAGTTTCATTGCAAACCCTAAATTTTGAATTCCCTATATATACGGAGTACTAAGTAAATCTCATTTCAAACTCACCACCACACCATGACAACAAGCAAGGAAAACACTCGGCCTAATAATAGCGATTTGTATTCCATGATAAAGGAAGTTGAACTCACTAGGTCAACTTGGGCTCTCAGAGTACGGATGGTAGGAGCTTATGAGGTTCCATCTCATTCCAAAGGAGGTGCAAGGCTGGAAGTAGTTTTTCACGATGTGGAGGTAATTCAACATTCGTTTATGCATTTTAAATTGATACTCAAGCATTTAAATTCTCAAAAATTCAACTTTATAACACTTATTCAAGTAGCATTGCAGGGGGGCCGTATTCATGCAGTCATAAAAAGGCCATTCACGCATCTGTATAGAACCAAACTGGTGGAAAACCAATGTTTCAGAGTCAAGAACTTTTTAGTTCTAGATAACAATTACAACTACAAAATGAGATTGTAATATTATCAACCTATGACTTACAATGCTTTTAAAAAACCTTTTGGTATTTTCGATTTTGCTATGTCTATTGGTTTGCAAGTTAGGGGTGACTAACGTTCACATACAAAGTTAGAAACATTTTAGCAGAACTACAACGCATGAATGGAGGAAGCCACAAAGATTGTGATATGTAAGAACGAGACACACAGATGGCATGGTTGAATCACGTTGTGTGATTGAAATTATAGGCAGCAAATTCTTTAGAATTGTAATATTCGTAGTATTTGTAATTTGTAATCAGAAAAGGCATTTACATGACTAAAAATGTAACATTCGGTTTTTATAATAAAGTTGAGACATTCTATGTTACTTATGAGCCTATAAATATTTTTAAAATTAGTATTAGCATATAGAAAATCCGAATTACTAAAAATGATTATGAAATTTAAACATCCCAATAATTCTCACTTTATAAGAAAGAACATTTTAATCAGATAAAAAAGAACGTTTCAGTAATAAAGAACATTTCAATAAGATAGAACATTTTAAGAAAATTTGTGGTAAAAAAAGACATAGTACTTTATTTAATAACTAACTTTATGAAATCCTGAATTGTACAAAACATATGAAAAGATAACAAATAAATTTTCCCAATTCTGATGAAAACATTGCAAAAGCGTACTTCATATAATAACTAAAAATATATTATTGCCGACATTTAATATTACATAGAGTATTTGCTGCTTATAATATTTTGCACGTTATAAATATCGTATAATGTGTATATATATTTGGGGTTTGTACGTTATTTGCTGCTTAAATATATATATTCAATTCAGTGCAGTTTGTATTAAAGGAGGTGAAGAAGGCATACCTTATCTTTGGGGTGAAAACCTGTTAACCTAAGTCTAAACTATTTAATTATTACATATGATGGCATCTTATTAAAGGCCCCAAAACCTACAAATTACATTCATCAAACTAAAATACAAAAATAAAAACAATATTTCAATGTTCCTGGCTGCACCTGAAATTAAAATAGAATAGTAAGTAAAATGTGTTGGTGATGCAAGTTCACTAAAACAAACAAGTGAAAACCACACCTTATATGCAACTAATTTCATAGCTTATGTTAATAATATAAAATTCTTAATGTGTGCTCAAAATATGTTTAATTTCTCATGAAAAGAAGAAATAATAACTACATCAAATCAGTTTAAAAAACAAGAACGAGCTTAGTGGGGTATGTAAGACACCAAACATTTAATAACATACTATTTAGATTTTAAATTATTTTAATGAAAAATTATATAATTTCCATTGTAAAATTTAGCATTTAAAATCATATCATTACTGAAAAGAATTTTAGTTCATAATCACTCGGTTATACCAGGTAATATATATATATAACTATATATATATATATATATATATATATATATAAGTTAATTTGCATGTTTTGAGCACTTTTATTATTAGCCTAATGTATTGTTATATAAAATATACAAATATTAGTATATTTATATAACACGCAGGCCTTAACGAAAATGTTTAAAAAATGTATAATATAAATAGTTTACAACCAGTTAAAAATATTAGTTCTGTAAAAATAATAGATAATAGATACAACATAGTACTATTAAAAAAGGTAAATTTATAAAAAGGTTCTTTGACTCCTGTTTAAAATACCAAAAAAGGAAAAAGTAGTAAAGCTGAGTTTAGCATTTTCGAATATGACATAGAAAAGCTGGCCGAAGTGGCTGAAATTTGGGTTTTCCCTAGGTGGCATTTAACCAGCGCCTGTCCAGGTAGTTTATCTTAACAAAAAGGTTTTCAATGAAGACACAATTGTGGGAATGCAGATGAGTTGGTTAAAAAGGATTTAGTTAAAATAGTTTATGGTTTTTATTAACAAGTATGCCTTAGGCTACATGAAATGTATCAGAACATTCAATGTAATAAGATGTTATGAATGATTCATTTAAATGCACCATGAATGCATATTTTTGCTACAACATTTCTGTTACTTTCATTTGCGTCATGCTTTGTTTGAGAAATTACATTTTATTAATGGGCAAAGAAGTTTAAGATAGAAAGATGATTAGGATGCACATATATCATTTTAAGAGTATATAATATAATAACCTATGGAACATGCATTTTTAGATGCTTTTAGCGAAATAAATATGCATCTGAGAGATCACATATAAAACCTGATATACATGATGTACAGGGCACGTATAGTTTATGACATTATAAAAATGAGGAGGCTTACCAAACGTACAATAATCAACTGTAAGAGGCTGGCGGGAGAGGCATTTGACCAAGGTAATAATGCAAACTTCAGATTTATCATAGAATATATAACCCGAAATTTCATTGAATTCATAACACCAAAAATTTCTGGGGAAAAAATGGGTGACCTTCTATCATCATGTCAATGTGGTCAATGGTAGAATTGATGATGGTTGTGCAGCGGGCTACCCGACCACACAGTTCCGAAGACCACCGATGTGGCTGGCAGGGTATCGGGTAACCCTATGGTCAATGCCACATCACCTACTACTTGACCCAGACAGAAATAGTTAAGATGCATTTAGGTATGGCTGCAAACATTAGTTTCAGAAAACATAAAGTATTTTAACTAAATCCTTTTAAACCATAGGGAGCATAACATCTATATTATATTATGATAATATAGATAAATTGAACACTTATATGAAATCCTAATACATAGTTATTCTTACATGTATATCTATATTATGATAAAATATTTTTAAAGGTTAAGTTTTCAATCTATGTAAGTATTAGGATTTCATATACGATTAACTATGACATAAAATATGTATTAAATGAAAGTAAAGATTTTGTTTAAAACAAAATAAGCATCCAAGCAGAAATTAAATGAAAGTAGACACTTTTGTTAAATCACAAAGCATCCAAGCAGAGTATTTAAGAGTAGTTAAAACACAAATTAGTTACAAAGAAACCGATACTAAAACTGAGTATTTAAGATGTATGTAGCATAGTTTGAAAATCTGATTTAGTTTCAACCCATATTGTTTCATGCATAAATAAGTATTCACATAGGTATATAAATAAGTATTCACATAGGCATATAAATAAGTATTTGCATAAATAAGTATTCACATAGTTTGAAAATCAAATTTAGTTTCAACCCATATTGAGGCTAAATCAGTTTTTTTTTCAAATTAATACTATATGACCTATTAAAAAAACTAGAATAACTTAGGAATACATTAAGTTAAATATTTAAGATGTATGAGGCATAGTTCGAAAATCAGATTTAGTTTGAACCCATATTGTTTAAAAAATGATTTAAGTTATTTCACAAAGAAGTATTCAGTGTTGATTTACGTATAGGTATTCACAAAATGAGTGTTGATTTATCAGTGTTGATTTACATATAGGTATTCACAAAATGAGTGTTGATTTATCAAAAATAGTTTAATCTTAGGGTTTTATTTCAAATCAGTATTACATGCATTAAAAAAAATAGAATAACTTCGGAACATATTAACTCAGGTATTTGATTCATAGTTACGTATTACAACATACAACTGGGCCACTTGATAGAATAGTAGTGTGCCGTGGATGTGAATAAACAGGCCCAACATCAGATTGCATAAACTGATGTTGTAAAGACATGTACGCATCACAAACGCATAGATCTAGACAGATCTAAAAGCAACAAATGATACATATCTTATATTCAAACATGTAAGAACGAAAAAAATTATAAATTTAGACCCATACGTAGTACCATTTCGTGATACGGGGTGACCGAATATTTCACTGTGAAGAAATCTGAGTATACCCCTTGGTCAGTACAAAATCAAAACGAAAAACTTATGTATAAACGTATACGAACCATAGAATCATGGATCTATACAGATCTAAATGCCAAATAATGTTAGGTCTCGGAGATTCAGACATGCACCAATAACATATCCATCGATCTACAAAGATCTGTTACAGGTTCTACGAGCAGTGGAAGTTTTTTAAAAAAATATCAGAATAATTTTGAAAAAACAGTGTACAAACACCAATGAATTGAATGTTTAACAGATTTTTTATATAGAAAACAAAAATACAGAAAATTGAATATATAATCGACCAGTATGTTTAAATCAAAGAAATTCAGAAATATACCGACAACTCAATCGGAATGGACAACAATCGTTCGGATTGTATCAGATGGAAACACCATCTATCGGATTGTACAAATACCATCTATCGTTCGGATTGAATGTTTGGGTACAAAGAAGTGAGAACTGGATATGAATGATGGCGTTTCGAGGGGGAGTTTTAGAGGGGAGGATGAATGTGGCATTGAAGACGGTAGGTTTCTATCGCAGAGGGAGTAAGAGGCGTAGAAAGGTCTTCAGGATAATAGGTGGTACGCTGGATAATGGGGTGGAACGCAGGGTATTTGTATTTAGGGTTGGTTAGGGTTGATCTGGGTCGCTTAAATCTAACGGGTTGGGCTGAGGACGTTTAACTGGGCCGGGTAGGATTAGGGCTGGCTGAAAGGTTTTATTCTAATGGGATTATAAGTTGGATCCGAAATTTCAGGTATTTGGGTCTGAAATTAAATGGATGTTACATACGTTTGTACATATTCAATGGTTTGGTCAGATTTAATTGGGCCAAAAAAATATTTCAAAGTATTCAAATGGGTTAAAACTTAGCTGGGTTTTGAGACTATTTATATGAGCTAAAATTCTTAAGTTATTTTTAATGATCAAAAAATATAAATTGTACTCCCTCCATTCTTTTTTAGTTGCAACGGTCAACATTCCATATTTGCCCACGCACGTCTTTGACCGTAATTATATGTTAATTATATTAGTAAAAAAATATTAAAAATCATATTTTGAAAATTGTAATGAGATGAATTGAACAATATTTTTAAAAAAAAACAATTTTCATAAAATAATAGTGTCAAATGTAGTCAAAGTAGAGCATGTAAATATTGTAAAATTCAACATGTTGCGATTAAAACAGAACGGAGGAGAGTATTATGTATAATGGTAACGATAAAAATAAAATCAAAAAAATCATATAATAATGACCCTTAAGGGAGTAATATTTTTGAATAAAATGTTTTCTTTTATTTTTTTTAGAATAAGATTCAAAATTATTACTCCTAATAGAAAAGGAGTTGCTAAAGTTTGTAATTAAACAAGTTTCAAATTTAAAGAGCAAGCGATTCACGTTTCCAAAAAATAATAATAGTAATTGAGGGCATGTTTGTATTTAATTGCCTTAAGCATAAAACTTTAGGGCATATAGAAATAATCTATTGTATTGAAATCATGCAATAGATATAGTTTATTGTATTGGAA